ATTTAACGCCGACTTGAAAAAAAATCTTTTGCCACAAGCGTCACAACTAAACGGTTTTTCTCCCGAGTGGATTTTCATGTGCGTATTTAACTCAGACTTTAAGGGGAAACTTTTCTTGCAAACTTCACAACCAAAGAGTTTCTCCTCCGAGTGGCTTTTGATGTGTCTGTTTAAGGCCGACATGGAGATGCACCTTTTACCACAGGCATCACAAACAAAGGGCTTTTCTCCTGTGTGGATTCTCACGTGTTTGTCTAAAATTGATTTTGAAGTGAGTCTTTTTCCACAATAGGCACAACTGAAGAGCTTCTCTCCAGTGTGGCTGGTCAGGTGTCTGTTCAGATCGGTCTTTGACGGCCACCGTCTCCCACAAACATCACAAGTAAAGGGTTTCTCTCCCGTGTGGATTTTCTTGTGTCTGTCTAAAACATCCTTTGAGGTTAGCCTTTTACCACAAATATCACAACCAAAGGGTTTCTCTCCTGTGTGGCTCTTTGTGTGTCTGTTCAAGTTTGACTTTGAGGAAAAAATTTTACTACATGCTTCACAACGGAAAGATTTGTCCTTTTTCTGGATTGTTAAATCCGTCAGCTCATTTTGATTCCTGCTTATAGTATCATCACCTTCGCGGTAGTTCTGACCTTCCTGCGATAAATCTACATCTTCCTGTTTCCATCTCGTTTTGCGTGACCCTCGAACCTGAGTAGATCTGTCCGCTATTATTTCCCACGGCTCACCGTCTTCAGCTTCAGTATCTGGCAGGCATTTGAGGAGAGTTTTATGATAATTTACATCATAAAACTTTTCATCTTTGTGGTCTTTAGTCTTGAAGCAGTTGAAAAAGCCACCAGGAGAGTTTAGATCTGGTTTTCTGCTGGATTCTTCTGCTCCACAGTCCTCTTCTTTGATTTCTGCCTTTAGAAGCTTCACCGAGGCGCCGCTTGGAAAAGCTCCACCTTCTGGTTGCGGTTCAGGTTCAGAGATTGAAGGCTTCGCTTCATCCTCTTCATTCTTGACATGAGCAGCAGTGAATGGAAACCTGGCCTCCGGCTCCTCCTTTATGGGGTGGAGCTCCTGTTCCCGCTGCTCCTGATCCAGAATCAGTTCTTCTTTAACAGCTGCAGGAAACACAGGAAACTCGTTATGAACGTTTGTCTTTGAGGATCAGAAGCAGGGCTGTGTGGTTAGCATAAGCTCAGACTCAGCAGGGATCTAGAATGGTTTAAGCGCTAGCTGTTTAGCTAGCTTGTGGCTAGCTAAATATTTAGTTTGTTAAATAAATATTTAGTTTGGAGCTAAATATCTATTTAAAAAACTAAATCATTATTTGCAAACTTAACATTTAGCTTCAAACTAAATGGTTTGTCATCATTTCTTCCTCTTCAAGTGAGTTTTTTTGGTTATCTCTATTTCTGTGGATCTTGAAGATTTATGATTTTTGTTTTGTTGCCTTTATGGATA